TTAGGAGGCCCAACTGAACGAGGCGCAGCAGTTGCAAGCTTGCAACAGAGGCGCACCCTTTCGGGGCCTACCGGAAGCTTCTGGGCCGAGGCCAAGGCCAGCCAGGCTGCGAAGGCAGGCAGGCTTTTTCCATATAGGAAAGAGTTTGCGGCCTGGAGGGGCATTCAGGCACTTGCTGGCTGGCAGCAGCGCTGCTGGAGCAATCGCTAGCGCGCTGGCTGCTGGAGCAAGAGGCTGCGCACGTGCGGTCGTGTGGTGAAGCAGGGCGCTGTTGAGGGCAACGCCATAGCCGAGCCTCCATAGCTGGCTGTGGACTTGGACATACAATGAGGCACAGGGGGTTGTCGTCGTGTGGTGTAAAGACGTGGGTGTAAGTCAGGGGAGAGAGAGAAGGATGATGATGATGATGATGATGTGAGGGCACATAACGGGTATTGGCGATGGTCTGCATGGGCAACATCTTCAAATACTTCGTGGGCTGTTGACGTCAACAATTGCATTGTCAATTAGTAGGCAGACAGTAGTTGTGTAGGAAGCAGGTTGGGCGCCGAGCGCGAAGTAGGGAGAAGGACCTGGACACTCATGTTGGTGGTGGAGAGAGCAAGCTCTCATTGACATTGGTTTTCAATATTACGATTCTTCATTGGTGTTATATTGGTGCAATTCTGTTTTCTGGACACTGTGCTACTATCTGGCCTTCAATGTGATTGTGCATTTTGGATATTGTAATCTCGCTTCTGCTCATTGTTCCTTGCAATTTGGTATCCAACTTCGAACTGCACTTCATTGATTCTTCGCAACAATTGTTTGGTGCTTCTCATAAGGTGCGGGGCAGTAATAAGGCTTGGGCGTTGAATGATAGGCGGCCCAGGGTCGTGTGGGCACGCCAAGAAGACCGCTGCTGATGAGAGTTCGCTGATGTGGCATTTAAGCCGAGGTGGAACTTCATTCTGCTGTTGGTTGTACAGAGGCAAAGACCGATCATCATAAATGCACATCAGGTTGCCGGTGAGAAATCTGTGGGTGGGGGCAGCATTATGAGGTACGTTGCTCTCTACCCTCTTCGTTACTTCTTACCGTGAGGAAGTGAGTTATGTCTTGAGAGTCCTCTCAACGTGAGGTGTCGCGAGCGCTCAACCTGAAGAGTCGACATTCTTCCTGGGTAGCAAGCTGGTGGGAGACGGGCAAAGCCTCTGAAGGGCCCTGGACGAAGCACTCGTGTCACGGTCACCATGCCAACCCGCTGGGACTAGTACACACATGCTTTGTCGCAAGTCGTTGGTTCTGCTGTTGCTTAATAGAGGTCATGGAGAGCATGCTTTGCCGCAATTCCTTGAACGAATGTAAGAACGCTCCTGAGTGATTTCCTTGGGTTTCTCAAAATCCACAGCCAAAAGGTCCTTGGACTCAAGGGGTCCTCGCGAGGTCCCTTGGGTTAAAGGAGCCGTGATTGACTGAGTGTTCTGGAGCGAGCACCGACAAGAAAATTTGGAGTCGATGTTGGTGCATAGGTCGTCCGTGGTCCATTCGGCAAAACTCGCCACCCTCTTGTACTCGACGGGCCCCCAACAGCCTTCCACCGTTACCGTTGGCATAGAAATGCATGGGGGTGGTTCTTCAGCTGCAAGGCGCTTCGTGAAACGAAGTTTTTCGTGCGCGCGTCAACGACTGTGGTGTCCAACGGTCGAATTTTTTTATTTTTCTACAAGCGATGTTGAAGGATTGTTGGCTGATTGCAATCATCTGCCTAGCGTGTTTTGTCAGCAATTGTCTGGCGCATTGATGCAAGAATTGTTTGGTACACGCCTCGCGTGCTGCGATTTATGGCAGACGTCCTCCCGCGGTTCCCGCTCCTGCTGCTGGCCATTGTTCTCCTGCTCCTTGTTGTGTTGCTCCATGTGTGGGTCCTTGTGCAGGGTTCTGGCAGCAGATGGAAACGACGAAAGGTGAGGACGACGACGATGGACAGGCGGGAAACCTCCAGCAGACAGCCACCACGCACCATCGACTACTCCACTCCGCAGCTTGTCCTTGTAGTAGCCCTCTGCTGCGCCGTCAACCTGCCGGAGATCCTCCCATGCCCCTCCCATCCTTATCCTCATCCACCATCTTGGAGTCACCCGTGGGATCACACCTGGTGCCATGGCGCAACAAAATTGCACAATGGATTTGGATAATGACACACAATCAGGTGCATCCATCACTTGTAGCATCAACTGCCTCTGCCTGCGAACGAACAATCTCCTCCTCAGGCGTGTTATCGTTCTCTCAATGCGATAATGCATGGCGACGACTGACAAAACTGCGACCACCGTGTTTCTCTCCAATGTCGTTAATGCCTTCCGACCACCCGGGAGCTCTCCCTCCATCGTCAGGACTTGCAATGCGCAAGCACCCACCACTCGTTCACCCGCTGGCACCCGCCGGCACCCTCGCGACACCTATCAACGGACAGCGTTCACACTCTCCACGTTTCACAGAAGCGCTACGTTGTGATGGCCCAAAGAGCATGAGTTTGAACATACACTTTTGGGGGGCAAAAAACAGTTTCGAATTGCACTTTGGGCATTTCACCCAAATAGACCACCCGGTCATTATATCTGTATTTGGTCGAAATTTAAGTCTAGATGCAGTGATAATGACCAGGCGTTCTATTCGGGTGAAGACGGTAGCTCTCCAGTCAGGTAGGGTTACGTGGGGGTGTGTTATGTTCGGGGGTATCCCTGAAGTGGAATTTCAAACTGTCTTTTTGTGACTGTACTGAAGCTACCACTGGGGCGAGGTTTCACTAGCAACCAGAATTTGATTCGATTCCCGGACCTGGACGTGTTCTAAGCAGAGATGCAGAAAAGCATTTCAATGTCTATTTTCTGCACGTTTTTCTGGCAAACATGTCCAGATTCAGTCCAATCCTCTTTGCTGGTGGGACGTCGCCCAAGGGCCTTAAACCTCACTTTTGGGAACTTCCTAACAAGGAATCTTCCCCCTTTCTTTTTTTTTTTTCCCAGGGTAAAAAAAAAAAAACACAGGATTGCCTTAGAGGTATGATTATTGAACCAACCTACCCAAGGGGCGTTGGTCCCAATATCTAAGGCTATTGGACTAAGCGCCCGAATCTGGGATGTGTTTCACGCAGAGATGGAGAACTCCTGAATCTGGATTTACTGCACCAACCTCTCCAAGAAAACATGTCCAGATTCAGGCCTTCAATCCAATCCTCCTTGCTGGTGGGACCGTGTCCAATGTCCATCTGATTGCACTTTTACTTTCTTGCCTGCCTGATGGTTCTGTCGATGAATCTTCTATCATCATTCTTTTTTTTCTTTTTTTTTTTTAACAACCAAGCTTGCATGTTGAAGTCATGAACGCAAGGAGGCCAGGAATCTCTCCACATCTTTCATCATTTTTTTTTTTTTCCCATTTCAAAACATCAGGGCGGAGGTCCCACTAGCAAAGAGGGTCGGATCTGAACGCCTGAATCTGGACGTGTTCGCGGTGAGGTGCAGCAAACCCAGATGGAACTGCTTTTCTGCATCTCTGCACAGAACACGTCCAGATTCGAGTTTAATCCAATCCTCTTTTCTACCGGGACCTCGACCCAGGGTGCAAACCCACAATGATAACAATCCTGTCAATCGGACTCAATCCATCATTCTTTCGGTCTCCCTCTTATATCTTCACGTCTCTTTTGTGCTCTTCTCCTCTTCTGCTCTTCTTCCTTTCTTCTTCTTTTTTTTTTCCTGACCTTCTCTTATGATGTTCATGTCCCTGTTAGGCTGTTCCTCCTCTGAATGAATGGCTCCTTTCTTTTTTTTTTTCTTTTTTTTTTT